TAGGGCTGACAGGGTGCAATAGCTGGTGAATGAACGAGATATTTCGGTTGTTGTTATTGTGTTGGAAGGATTTTTTCTGAAAATTGATAGGAGGGGGTTATTATACCTCCTCAAGGATGTGCTAGTCGCTGAAATGAATGATAATGGAGATGAGTGAAATAAATAACTCGTCTTATATTCTAAAAGGCATTTCAGAAATCTGGGTACAGTACAAGATTTAGATGCGGGCTTACGTGAGAGCAGAATTTGCCGAAGCATAGTTTAGCAAATATGTACAGCAAACAGAGAAGAAAGAAAAAAATAGTCCCTCCTAAGGGGAAAAGAAGTAAATAAATAAGAAAATAACTTCAATGAAAAAAACTTTTCTCGTTGTTGACCTTACCAGAGGGTGTCGCGAAGCATCCTTTTAATCAAGGGAATATTTGCAAAGACTTCTGAATGACCGCGACGGCGAGTTTTAGAATTAACTGTAAGTGGGGACGATGGGACCTTTGCTACGAGATGGCGAAAGTCGGCGAAATGCAGGAAGAGGCGATTTATTTTTGAGCTTTAATTGGGGCAGGGGATTTATTTTTAGCTGTATTTGCAGTAAAAAAAAAATGCGTAATTACAGTAAATTATATTTTTTACAACCGATGTTATTTCTTACTACAGAAAAAGGTGCTAATTATTTTGAATTCGTGTTGATAAGAACGAGACCTGATTTTGAGGGTTGTTGTTAAGATGAAAGAATATATATATATATGTATGTATGTATATATATTTTTTCTTTCTTTCTTTCTTTCTTTCTTCTTATTTGTATATATGAGAATAAGTAATATTCATGACCTCTTGTAAGACAACGTAAGAGTATTCTGCTTTTTTTTTAACGTTGTGGAAGAGCTTTAAGAAGTCACCTAATGGTTTCCTTGAAGCATCTTCTTTAATCCTGCTTTATCTTCTTTCTTCCTCTTTGCGCTTGCCCTCTTGCGTGGATTATTATTATTATTATTTTTATTATTTTTTTTTTATTCTATTTTATCTGGAGGAGGAGGTGGAGGTGGAGGTGGAGGTGGGGGGCAGGAGGAGGAGGAGGGGGTGGGGGTAAGTGGAAGAGGAGGGGAGGAGCGGGAGGAGGAGGTGGAGAAGGAGGAGGGGTGAGGAGGAGGAGAAAGAGGAAGAAGAAGAAAGAGGAAGAAGAAGAAGAAGAAGAGGAGGAGGAGGAGGAGGAGGAAGAGGAAGAGGAAGAGTGGGCTGCGTCTGGGATCCTTCAGTGGTGTCTGATGGGGGCTACTGGGGTCGAGGGGGGGGGGAGGCCGATGGGGCCTGGCGGAGTCTGATCAGGTTCAGCGACGGCGGGACGGTCGGCTATATTTCTCCCTTGCTCCTTAATCCTTTGTTCCTTCTTTATTTTTCTCTCTCCGTTCCTCTCTTCCGCTTCCGTTCCTATTTTTTTCCCCGGCGGCCTGGTCTGTTTATCTTCCTCCTGGCGACTTCCGGGCTCGGGGTTTCCTCATTAGCATACGGCGCAGCGGGAGGAGGCGAGGGATGAAGCCGTCTTCTGCCCGAGTCGCGTCCCTTCCATATTCATGCCGCCGAAAGTGCGAAGCCGTTTCCCCCGCTTCGTTTAGCAGGCGTGCCGTTTTGACGTCCGCGGTTCCGGCTCTCTCTTCTCCCCTCTCTCGCTTTTTCCTTTCTCTTTCCCGATCTTTCCGATCTTCGCTCTCTCTCTCTCTCCTCTCTCTTTCCCCTTTATCCCTTTCCCCTTTCTTTCACTCTTCTCTCTCCTCCCTTCTCTTTTCCCTCTCTTCTCCCTTTTCTTCTCTCTCTTTCCCTCTCTTCTGCTCCCCCCATTATTCATCACTTCTCTTCCCTCTTCCTTCTCTTCTCTTCCTTCTCCCCCCCCCCACTCTCCCTTAAAAGAAAGGAAGCGAAGTGTCTTAACTATATATCCAAACGCTTTTTTTTATGCTTTCGCGAACTCCTTCCTTCCTCCGCGTTCATCCCCCCTCCCCCCTCCCCCCCCTGGCTGTGGGTGAAGCGTGTGAGCCTTTCCCACGTTTTAAAAGCTCTCGGGCGTGTTCATCTCCAGGAACATTATGCGGCCCGGTGTTGGCTCGTCGGCGGGGAGTGGTCAGCCCGTCGGCCTTAGCGGTGGCGCCGGGGAATGGGCCATCGTCCTGCTGAGGCGGGGGGAGGAGGGGAGGGGGGTTAGGGCCCGTTTGGTCTGCCGCGCCGAGGGGGGGGGGATATGTAAAGAGGAGAGGGAGAGAGAGAGTGAGAGTGTGAGAGTGAGAGGGAGTGAGAGTGAGAGAGAGTGAGAGAGAGTGAGAATGAGAGAGAGAGAGAGAGAGAGAGAAAGAGAGAGAGAGAGAGAGAGAGAGAGAGAGAGAGAGAGAGAGAGAGAGAGAGAGAGTGTGTGTGTGTGTGTGTGTGTGAACATTAATCATACTAATATACATACTTGCATACAAACACACACACACACACACACACACACACACACACACACACACACACACACACACACACACACACACACACACACACACACACAACACTAACACTAGCACTGAATAAATAACATATGAACTGACAAATATGCTAAAAAAACGAACATTTGTTGACTGAGCGACTAGCCTCTATCTTCCTTCGTAGAAAAACGGATGGAGTTCCCCCCCCCAAATAATTCGTTTTGTGCCTCGCCTTCGCCGGCCTCGTAACGCGAGCTTCGTTTCGCCAGTTCGCCCCATCGCCATTCCATTAAGTTCTCTTGGGCACATTCCGTCGCCTTCTGGTCCAGCCCCGACGCCCCCGGTCTCTATTTACGCTCGTGCCTTCTCTCTCTCTCTCTCTCTCTCTCTCTCTCTCTCTCTCTCTCTCTCTCTCTCTCTCTCTCTCTCTCTCTCTCTCTTTCTCTCTCTTTCTCTCTTTCTCTCTTTCTCTCTTTCTCTCTCTTCCTTTCTCTGTTCTTTTCTTTCTCTCCCTTTCTCTCTCTCTCTTTCTCTCTTCCTTTCTCCCTCTCCCTTTCTCTCTTCCTTCATCTCTTCCTTTCTCTCTTTCTCTCCCCCTATCCCTCTTTCCCTTTCTCTCTTTTTCACCCTCACTGTCACTTTCTATGTCTCCATCTCCATCTTCATTCTCCCCCCCATCTCTCTCCTTCACCTCCTCCTTCCCTCCCCTTCCCCCTCATTCCCTTCCCCCCATCTACAACATCCTTCTCCCTCCTCCCTCCCTCCCTCCTCCCTCCTTCCTCCCCATCCTCCCTTTCCCTCGTCCCTCCCTCCTCCCTCCTTCCCCAATCCTCCCTCCCTCTTCCCCCTCCCTCCCTCCCTCCCCCTCCCTCCCTCCTTCCCCCCATCCTCCCTTTCCCTCCCTCCCTCCCTCCCTCCCTCCCTCCCTCTTCCCCCTCCCTCCCTCCCTCCTTCCCCCTCCCTCCCTCTCCCTCCCTCCCTCCCTCCCTCCCTCTTCCCCCTCCCTCCCTCCCTCCCATGTGAGCTTCCCTCGCGAGATTGATTTGCTTCTGAGAAAGTGTTGTTGTTTTGAAGACGTTGCCCGCGGATCTCTGACCCCCGCGCCGCGCACTCCTCCCTTCCCTTTTCTCGGTCTTTCCTTCATTATTGATTTTATTCCCTTTTCTTTTTTTTCGCTTTTTCTTTTTTTCTCGTTTGCATGGCATGGCGGGATATTTTTTTTCTTTTGTTTTGTTTGTCTTTCTTTTTTTTTTCTTCTTTCGAGTTTCGCTTCTCTTTGTCTCTCTTTCTTTCTCTTTCTTTCTTTTTCTTTTTCTCTCTTTCTCTCTTTCTCTCTCTTTCTCTCTCTTCTCTCTCTTCTCTCTCTCTTCTCTCTCTTCTCTCTCTCTCTCTCTCTCTCTCTCTCTCTCTCTCTCTCTCTCTCTCTCTCTCTCTCTCTCTCCCTCCTCTCCTCCCTCCCTCCCTCCCTCCCTCTCCCTCCCTCCTCCTCTCTCCTCTCTCTCTCTCTCTCTCTCTCTCTCTCTCTCTCTCTCTCTCTCTCCTCTCTCTCTCTCTCTCTCTCTCTCTCTCTCTCTCTCTCTCTCTCTCTCTCCCCTCCCTCCCTCCCTCCCTCCCTCCCTCCCTCCCTTCCTCCCTCCCTGTCTCCCTCCCTCCCTCTCCCCCCTCCCTCTCTTCCTCCCTCTCTCTCTCTCTCTCTCTCTCTCTCTCTCTCTCTCTCTCTCTCTCTCTCTCTCTCTCTCTCTCTCTCTCTCTCTCTCTCTCTCTCTCTCCCTCCCTCCCTCCTTTTGTTTCTCTCCTCTTCTCTCTATGTATCCCCTCTTCCTTCTCGCGCCCGTGTCCATTCCCACTTTCCATTCCAGCTCCAATTCCAACTCCTCGAAGTCACTCCCACGCATTCCCACTTGCCGGAACCACACACATCGTTGAAACTTTCCAGGCTGTTCATTTTCTTTTATTTTTGTGTTTGTTTTTCTGTTACGTTTTTAGGTTTTTACTCTTGTTCCTTTTACCATTTTTTGGTTGTTATCTCTCCCCCACTCCCTTCGTTACCCCCCCTCTCCCCCTTCCCCTCCCCCCCTTCCTCTTCCGCTCTTTGTTGGCTCTCGGCTTTTGTTGCGCCCTCTTTTGTTGCAGCTTTTGTTGCAATTTCGTCAGCCACTTCCTCTGTGCGCAACAACCTAACTACGGTTTTGGTATCGGGGATTTGGGAGTTCTTGGTGCGCCCTTTTTACGGTCGAGGGGAAAAGGGAGGAAAGGGTGAGGGGAAAGGGTGATGGAAAATCGATGTTTTTGGAGGATTACGGGTGTATTGTCAAAGGGAGGAGGGGGGGAGGGAGGGGGAGGGAAAGGGAAAGGGAAAGGGAAAGAGGGTAGAGAAGGAGTGAGTGAGTGAGTGAGTAAGTGAGTAGATGAGAGAGAGAGAGAGAGAGAGAGAGAGAGAGAGAGAGAGAGAGAGAGAGAGAGAGAGAGACGGACAGAGTGACGTGATCTTTACCTATCGTTGAAATGTTGCACCAGCATTAATTTTCCTTCCTCCCTCTGCCACAGAAGACGTCCATCACGAAGAAGGTGACGAGCGGAACCACCGACAACCACATTCCTCACAACATGAACAAGCGTGACATCATCCGCGCCACTGACTTCAACTTCCTCATGGTCCTCGGCAAGGGATCCTTCGGCAAGGTCCTTCTGGCGGAAAGGAAGGTCAGTAAGGTCCCTCCACTACCCCCCCTCACCCCCCATACCCTCTTTACTTCTTTTTTTTACCCCCCACTCCCCCTCAACCATTCCCTCTCATTCGCCTGTGAGTTTCCATGACGAAGCTGATCCTCGAAGCAGGTTCCGTAAGCCTAGCAGTAAGACAGGAGAGAGAGAGAGAGAGAGACATTTTGAATTTCTCATCTTTATTACTTATTTCATGGTACCTTTAGTATAAGCTTAAAGGAAAGGAGATGTTCCGACGCCGCCCCTGCCAACGACTCGGCCAAGTGGACGTCGGGAACAAAGCGTCGTCGGGTCGTGCTTTCAGAGGCCCTGTTGCATTCGCGTCGTCGTGTTGCAGATTCCGTGACGAGAGAGAGAGGTGTTGCTGCGGTTGAAGGAACGCAAGGAATGAATGAATGAATTAATGTAGGTGGGATGTAGCGCAAGAAATGAGTGAATGAATAGGTGAGGTGAGTGTTATAAGAAGAGAGGAAGGAGAGAGAGAGAGAGAGAGAGCGAGAGAGAGAGAGAGAGAGAAAGGGAGAGAGCTAGAGAAAGAAGGGGGGAAGTTAGAAAGGGAGAGAGAGCGAGAAAGAGAGTGAGAGAGAGAGAGAGAGAAGAGAGAGAGAGAGAGAGAGAGAGAGAGAGAGAAGAGAGAGAGAGAGACGAGAGAGAGAGAGAGAGAGAGAGAGAGAGAGAGAGAGAGAGACCTCCCCCCACCCCTACCACCCCCACCCCACCCCACCACCAGGCGCCATTTTGAATTTCTCATCTTTATTACTTATTTCATGGTACCTTTAGTATAAGCTTAAAGGAAAGGAGATGTTCCGACGCCGCCCCTGCCAACGACTCGGCCAAGTGGACGTCGGGAACAAAGCGTCGTCGGGTCGTGCTTTCAGAGGCCCTGTTGCATTCGCGTCGTCGTGTTGCAGATTCCGTGACGAGAGAGAGAGGTGTTGCTGCGGTTGAAGGAACGCAAGGAATGAATGAATGAAGGTGGGATGTAGCGCAAGAAATGAGTGAATGAATAGGTGAGGTGAGTGTTATAAGAAGAGAGGAAGGAGAGAGAGAAAGGGAGAGAGCTAGAGAGAGAGAAAGGGAGAGAGCTAGAGAAAGAAGGGGGGAAGTTAGAAAGGGAGAGAGAGCGAGAAAGAGAGTGAGAGAGAGAGAGAGAAAGAGAGAGAGAGAGAGAGAGAGAGAGAGAGAGAGAGAGAGAGAGAGAGAGAGAGAGAGAGAGAAAGTGAAACAGACAGAACGACGGAGACAGAAATAGAGAGAGCAATTGGCCTCTAGCCCCCCCCCCCAACCCCCCCGACGCCGGGAAGTTCGAGAACGAGGCCGCAACGACGTGCTATTGTGATGTGACGCGAGGAATGGATCTTCCTTGTGAATTCCAGGATAGAAGGGGGAATATAAGAAGGAAAGAGGATAAAAAAAGAAGAAAAGAAGAATAAGAAGTAGGAGGAGGAGAAGGATCCCCCTCTGCCATTCTAGCGAGGGCCGCCCACTACCGGGAACCGCTGATGCTGTGCCTCCTGGCGGTGAACTTTCCCTTGAAAGCCTCCCTTCGCTTGTGACCGAGAGGGGCGCTGCGACCCCTCGGCCGTCGCCAGGTCACAGCCCGCCAGGTCATAGCCGCCAGGTCACAGTCGCCAGGTCACAGCCGCCCATCAAAGCCGCCCCTCACGGCCCCAAGATCTGTATACTTACACAGACCTTGTCACAGCCCGCCCGTCACAGCCCGCACGCCCGGCCAATGCACGACAATTGCTTGCAGCCCAATTTTTTTTTTTTATGTATATGTTGTTTTATGAATGAAAGTCTTGCAGAATTCCGCCTTGAGGATGTAATAAGCCTGCGCTCTGAATAAGCGAGAATGATATAAAAAGGTTGTAATGGAAAACTTCGGCGAGGCTTAAATTAAATTTGAATATTCACCTTGTGAAAATTTGATATCTAGTTTGGAAACACGGAGACTTGCCGAACTCGGTGATATATACCACACACGCACGCTTACGTATGCACACGCACACACACACACACACACACACACACACACACACACACACACACACACACACACACACACACACACACACACACACACACATATATATATATATATATATATATATATATATATATATATATATATATATTTATATATATATATATACATTGTATACATATACATTGTATATATATACAGTGTGTACATATACATTTATACACATACATACACACACACACACACACACACACACACACACACACACACACACACACACACACACACACACACACACACACACACACACACACATATATATATATGTATATATATATATATATATATATATATATATATATATATATATATATATATATATATATATATATATATATATATATGTATATATATATATATATATATATATATATATATATATATGTATATATATATATATATATATATATATATATATATATATATATATATATATATATATATATATATATATATATTATGAAGTACGGCTATTTTTGTTTCTTTTCTTATTTTCTTATTTTTTGTGTGTATATATAAGGAATAAATATATTTTTTGTAGATGTCATATATGCTGGACATCCAATGCAACATTTCCCCGGCCGCCCGGTAATCTTACTCTGTTCTCTTCTGGGGCGCGTTGGCTGTGGCAACGGCGGCCCTTCTGTTGACGAGTCCCTGACTAAGTGTTCTGTCAACGGGCCGCGTAACCCGTTGACAGGCCATGCGCTCTGTCAACGGGTCACGTGTCCCGTTGACAGGCCATTCGCTCTGTCAACGGGTCACGTGTCCCGTTGACAGACCTTTTTTGACCTGTTAACGGGAGGAATGACCCCGCAGACGGGACTCGTGACCCAGGGACAAGGCTTTGGTCTTGCCCGCGGGTCCGTTGCCTGTTGCTCCCACGGCTGACCGCCCCGCCCCCCCGGCCTCCCTCCTGCAGGGGAACCGCAACGTAAGAGGGCCTGTGGTTGACCCTTGGCATGTGCCCGTGTGCTGCTCCCTCCCTGCATGGCGTTCCTGGGCTCTGTGGAGTGTGTGTGTACTTTTTTCGAAGCCATTTCACTTTTTTCGAGGTTATTTCACTTTTTTTCGAGAATATTTCATTTTTTTCGAAAATATTTCATTTCTTTGCGAGAATATTTCACCTTTTTCGCGAATATTCAACTTCTTTTCGCGAATATTCCAATTCTTTTCGAGAATATTTCACTTTATCGCGAATATTTAACTTCTTTTCCGAGAATATTTCACTTCCTTTCAAGAATATTTCACTTCTTTTCGAGAATATTTCACTTTTTTCGTGACTTATTTCACATTTTTGTGAATATTTCACTTTTTTCGTGCATATTTCACTTCCCCCCTTTCCTCCTCCTCCTCCTCTTCCTCCTCCACTTCCCCTTCCTCCTCCCTCTCCTACCTCCTCTTCCTCCTCCTCCTCTTCTCCCTCCTCCACTTCCCCTTCCTCCTCCTCCTCCTCTTCTTCCTCCTCCACTTCCCCTTCCTCCTCCTCCTCCACTTCCTCTGCCTCCTCTTCCTCCTCCTACCTCCTCTTCCTCCTCCACTTCCCCTTCCTCCTCCTCCTCTTCTTCCTCTTCTTCCTCTTCTTCCTCTTCTTCCTCCTCCACTTCCCCTTCCTCCTCCTCTGCTTCCTCCTCCCATTCTTCCTCCTCCTCCTCTTCTTCCTCTTCTTCCTCTTCTTCCTCTTCTCCTTCCTCCTCTTCCTTCTCCTCCTCCTCCTCTTCCTCCTCCTCCTCTCCTCCTCCTCCTCCACTTCCCCTTCCTCCTCCTCTGCTTCCTCCTCCCATTCTTCCTCCTCCTCCTCCTCCATTTCCACTTCCTCCTCCTCTGCTTCCTCCTCCTCCTCCTCCATTTCCACTTCCTCCTCCTCTGCTTCCTCCTCCTCCTCCTCCTCCACTTCCCCTTCCTCCTCCTCCTCTTCCTCCTACTCCTCTTCCTCCTCCTCCTCCTCCTCCTCCTCCTCCCCCTCCTCCATTTCCACTTCCTCCTCCTCTGCTTCCTCCTCCCATTCTTCCTCCTCCTCCTCCTCCTCCATTTCCACTTCCTCCTCCTCTGCTTCCTCCTCCTCCTCCTCCTCCACTTCCCCTTCCTCCTCCTCCTGCCTACCTCCTCTCCTCCTCCACCTCCTCCTCCTCCTCCTCCTCTTCCTCCTCCTCCTCCCCCTCCACCTCCTCCTTCCTCCTCCTCCTCCTCCTCCTCCTCCTCCTCCTCCTCCTCCTCCTCTTCTTCCTCCTCCACTTCCCCTTCCTCCTCCTCCGCCTCCTCCTCCCCTTCCACCTCCTCCTCCTCCTCCCCCCCCCCACTTCCCCTTCCACCTCCTCTTCCCCCAAATATTTCTGCATCGTAAGACCAGCGACCTTTGCCCTACTCCAGTTCGGGAACAAAATGTCGCCGAGGCCCACCTTGGTTAATATTGACCTGGCGTTTGATATTCCTCCTTTCCGCGCCTCTGCCTCTCCATCGCCATCTTCTTTTTCATAATAGATGCCTGTCTCTTCTCGTGTCGTTGCTGTCCTTGCGTGCGCTCTCGCTGTGTATTTGTTTTGGTCTGTCTGTCTGATTGTTTCTTATTCTCTTTCTCTTTCTTTTTCTGTCGGTTTCTCTCTCTCTATTTCTCTTTCTCTCTTTCTCTTTCTCTTTCTCTCTCTCTCTTTCTTTCTTTCTTTCTCTTTCTCTCTCTCTTTCTCTCTTTCTCTCTCTTTCTCTTTCTCTCTCTTTCTCTTTCTCTCTCTCTTTCTCTCTCTTTCTCTTCTCTCTCTCTTTCTCTCTCTTCTCTCTCTCTCTCTCTCTCTCTCTCTCTCTCTCTCTCTCTCTCTCTCTCTCTCTCTCTCTCTCTCTCTCTCTCTCTCTCTCTCTCTGCCTCTCTGCTTCTTCCTCCTCCTCCCCGTTTTTGGCCCTTATTTTTGGTCCTTTCATTCATCATCTCCGTTTCCCT